CGTGCACCCCGTGCCCTCCAGCAACGACCAACTGTCTCCTGGAGCCAGTATGGACGAGGCAGCGGGTAATAGACAGGTAGGCACCTTGTCAACATGCACATCAAGCGCAGCCACACCGGGGATATCAAACAACAGCCAACCACTTGAGAGAGAGAGAGAGATACAAAGAAAATAACTCGATTAACGCATAAGGAAACGGTGACATAAACCTTAAGTTAATGAGTATATGAAATAAGTTGTTCACAAACGTATCCTAGATAAGTTCACGAGGTCAGAAAGTATACTTCACGGAAATGCCACGAACACAAAAATGTTATGGAAATCGAATACAATTGGCTTAAGCGAGGTGTGCAAGTTAATGGAATAGAGTACAGGTAGACATTTATATGAGAAAGAAAGGCATTAGGACAAAACTGAAAACCCACCACCTGAAATAAAGAGACTTAGCATGCAAGCACGCGGTTAGTAAATCGAACGCAGCATACCTACAAACGCTGCGCCGGTTTTGCCTACGTTCTCTGCAGCACCCGTCGTCGCTTCTGTAGTGGTCCCGAGTGGCCTCGCTCATGCCTCACTAGACATTTAGATGAGAAATAAAGGCATTAGGACAAAACTGAAAACCCACCACCTGAAATAAAGGGACTTAGCATGCAAGCACGCGGTTAGGAAATCGAATGCAGCGTACCTACAAACGCTGCGCCGGTTCTGCCTACGTTCTCTGCAGAACCCGTCGGCGCTTCGGTAGTAGTCCTGAGTGGCCTCGCTCATGGCTCACTAAGCCTGCCTGACTAAGGCACTCGCGACCGCATGTTCTACAGCACCATGCGCTTGATGTCGATGGAGAACAACCCATCGGTGCTTGCCGCTTCCGCACTTGCCGCTTCTTCTCTGCATGCATGAAGGCTTTCTCCTGCACCTCGGCAACTGCCTTCGTGATCAGATCGCGCCATGCACGCCGATCAACCGCCTTCGATTCCCATGATCTGCAATCAAGATTAGAACGTGAGAGGCTCACTTTAATCATGTCCTGGTATCGTAACTTTGGTTTCCCCACGTGCCGCTTCCCAATGCTCAGCTGACCATATAATAGCTGCTTCGGTATCCGCGTCGAATCCATACGGCTCACATGACCGATCCACCTCAGGTGTCTCAATAAAAGTATGCAGTCCACTGCATACATCCCACTTCGGCGCAAAACTGCCGTGTCTGCAACTCTGTCGCCCCAGCCAATGCGCAAAATCCGTCGCAGACACTGCTGATGGAACCGCTCGAGATATCGCACATCCCGCCGGTACATCGTCCACGTTTCACTGCCGTATAGAAGAACGGACAGCACCATGGATTTGTACACCATCAGCTTCGTGCCAACGGTAGGCTGATGGTTGTTCCACACTCGGTACTCAAGCTTCCCGAATGCCGAAGTTGCGTTCGACATGCGGATACGCAGCTCACTGTGTAGCTGCTGATCAGTCGACATCACACTCCCAAGGTAGCAAAAGCGGAAGGTGGTTTCTAATACTTCAGCACCAATGCTGATTCGAGGCAATATTGAAGATTGGACCTCCGGTGAAGGCCGAAAGGGACAGACAGTTTTGCTTGTGTTGATGGTAAGCCCGAATCTGGCCTCTGTCGAAACCAGAGCACTAGTCATGTGCTGCAACTCATCCGCGTTGTGTGAAAACAACGCACAGTCGTCAGCAAACAGCAACATACGGATAGTTGTCTCACAGACTAGAGTTCTCGCACCGAAACGACGGAGGTTCAGCAACCCACCATCAATACGGTGCTCCACACGAACACCGTAAGCACAAGCCGCATCAAAAGCACAAGACAACATTGCATGAAGATATATATTAAACAGGGCAGGAGCTAAGACACAGCCTTGCTCCACACCAGAGACAACTGCAAAGTCATCCGAGGTCTCTCCACTCAGCTGCACCCTCGCTCGCATACCAGTGTGCAGACATTCAAGCAAACTTACAAACTTACGCGGGCAACCAAACTTACCCAACCCCAGCCACAATGCCTCGCGGTTCACCGTATCAAATGCCTTGGTGAAATCAACAAAAAGCGAGTACAATGGCTGGTGTCGTTCTCTGCACTTCTCCTGCAACTGACGAGCCGCAAACACCATATCTATAGTGCTGCGACCCGAACGGAATCCGCATTGCTCTTCCGCCATGTTAGGTTCCACAACCTGACTGACGAGGCGATTGAGCAGGATTCGGGCAATCACCTTGCCCACACAACTCAGCACGTTGATGCCACGATAATTCGTGCAATATTGCTTGCTACCTTTGCCCTTGTACACTGGTAGCACAAGGGCATCCTTCAGCTCAGGAGGCACCTCCTCCTCAATCCATACACGTTGCACCAAGTGGTGCAGCGCAGTCAACAACGCGGTTCCGCCGTGTTTCAATACTTCAGACAAGATCCCATCGGCCCCGGCACACTTGCCGTTTCGCAGCTGAGCAAGTGCTCTCTGCGTCTCATCTAGTGTCGGCGTGTCCGCCAGATTCGCCTTCACATCGTGCTGCTTCAGGCCGTTCAATGTAGGCCAGTCGATCTCTGAACGGTTGTTCAAGAGACAGTCAAAGTGTTTCCCCAGATCTGCATTATGTCTGCAGTCTGTGTGCAAATAGCGCCTGAACTACCATCGATCAGTGTCCTCAGCGGCTCCAATCTCGGTCCATACACCGCATTCAAGGAGTCAAAGCATTCCTTGTGTTGGCGGCGTTCGGCGTAGCATTCCATCTGCTTCGCCTTCTCCGTCCACCATGCATTTTTTATGCGACGGAGCTCTCGGGTCAGTCGCCGTCGAAGTTTGCGAAACTGACTATTCTTTCCCAAGTCACTGGGGTCAGCAACATGTGCAGCAAATGCTGCATTCTTCTCCGACACCAATGCGCCGATCGTCGCATTGTTGTCATCAAATCAATCAGGCCGCTTACAGTTTGCGCGCCCGATGGTCTCCTCGGCAGCGGCTGTCACCTGGTCGCGAATGTGGTGCCACAGGTCGCCCACTGTGGCTATGCAGTCCACATCACACAGGCGTGCAGCCATCGCCTTCTCCAGCTCAGTACGTTTCGCCACAGTACCGAGGGAGAGAATGTTAAATTTACGCCGATTCACGGCGGGAGTGCAATACATCGATTTACGAAAATATATGTACAGTTTGGTCCGAACCAAATTGTGATCAGTGCCACACTCAGCTCTACGCAGTACACGTGCCATGCGCACTTCACGCATAACACGCTGACGTACGATGACATAGTAGAGCAGGTGATCGTGACCACTCCGTGGGTGCGTCCAAGTTGCTGTATCACTCGCACTCAGTGCAAACCGAGTGTTCGTGATCGTCAGACCGTGAGTGGCACACAGTGAGAGCAGCCTGTCACCGTTCGCATTCGCTGAGCCAATGCCATGCGCACCGATAACATCTGTCCACGCTGATGCATCACGCCCAACGCGCGCGTTGAAATCACCCAACAGAAATAGTCGGTCGCTCCTCGGCACAGACCGTATCACGGAAGATAGCTCAGTGTAGAACTGATCACGCGTGTCATCAGGATAACACATGGTCGGACCGTACGTGCTTATAAAAGTAGCAAACTTACCTCTTCCGAGTCGTAGGCGAACAGTCATCAGTCGCGCGCTGATGCCCGTTGGTTCACCCACCAGCTGGCCATGGAGGCGATCGGGTATTGCAAATCCGACCCCATGTTCACGTGGTGCTGAGGCGTTGCCCACCCAGTAGAATGTGTAGCCAGCACCTGCTTCATGCAACTTACCTTGCTCAGCGAGCCGGGTTTCACTGAGCGCCGCAATATCGATGTTGTAGCGCGCCAGCTCCATCACGACGAGTCTAGTGCGTCGCTCCGGGCGCTCGCTGGAGTTCCGGTCTCAGCACCCCATGCTGAGTGCTTTGCGCGCAAGCATACGATTGCATTGGTAGGCAATCGCACGCGAGGTGGTCGATGTGCTTCGGAGGTTTGCTTGACGGACTCCACCCGGAGCCTTTGGCTCAATAACCTGACCCACAAGGCAGTGGGTGATTTGGAGGTTTGCTTGAGGGACTCCGAACGGAGCCTTTGGCTCAGTAGCCTGACCCACAAGGCAGTGGGGAGCAGATCCAGCCCGGGAATGTGATTGCAGAGACAGATTGCGATCTGCTTGACGACCGTCACACGCAGCCTTTGAGGTTCTGGAACGTTTTTATATGTTTTGCGACCGTAGTAGGATACGCACCTGCGACCACGGCCAGACGCAGGTGGGTTTTGGCGGGTTTGCACCAATTTGACCAGGGGCTGCCTGGCTTGAGGCGGGCAGTAGCAAACCACTGAACACCCGGATGTGTCCTCCCACCGTCAGAGACAATGTGTGGCGCTCGTGCTCTACGCCAGTCGAGCTGTGAGCTTATAACCCGTAGACCTGTTGTCTCCCATGGCTAGGTTTTACGGGAAGTGGACCATCGGCCACTTCCTAACCTCCGAAGAGGATGGACTAGGATACTGCCAGGGCGCCCAATCCTGACAGGAGAACGACTCGGGTCCTCAGTCAAAGCCCTCGATTAAATGAACACCCGAAAGGCAGCGGGTCGAGCACATGGTCAGTTCACTGACTCATGTAAATTGGTATCCTGGATCTTAGCAGGGAGAAGGGCGAAACCCAAATCCCACCCAGCAGTCGCCACGAGGAGGCGACCAGGACATGAGCAAATGGCACAACAGTAGCAGCAGTGGGTAGACCATCTGTCAGGATCCAGCCACCACCAGCCCCAGCGCACCATAGGCTCTCCCGCAACGCATACAAATACGCATGTGCACAAACGCATGCATACACGCACATGCACACGGATACGCATTCCGAGTAACTATGACAAAGTACACATCGCATTACACCGCTTGGACAACAAATGCCCACTTTACGGACGCGTACACAGAAATCTCATCACACATACATAGCACAATAAATCACATACAATAACAACAACACTTACCTCAGATCCCACTAACTCGAGCATAAAAATCGGCAACTACATAGCCACAGTGCAGCAACAACGATCCAGAACCACGACACAGGACCACGCGCTGCGGTCATTCACCATCGCCAATACACCATCAAAGCTCCAAGCAACAGGAAGCAAACACCAGTCGAACAACTCCATCCAAAACGATTCCAACAAATCAAACACATGACACATTCGTATTAGCATCTCTTCCAAAGCATACACATTCCAGTGACACATTCACACAATACGCATCGCATACACGCACGCATATGCACAAACCCATGCATACACGCGCATGCACACGGATACGCATTCAGAGTAACTATGACAAAGCACACATCGCATTACACCGCTTGGACAACAAATGCCCAATTTACGGACGCGTACACAGAAATCTCATCACACATACATAGTACAATAAATCACATACAATAACAACAACACTTACCTCAGATCCCACTACCTCGAGCATAAAACAACGCTAGCCAAATAGCCACAGTGCAGCAACGATTCAGAAACACGACACAGTACCACGCGCTGCGATCATTCACCATCGCCAATACACCATATAAGCTCCAAGCCACAGGAAGCAAACACCAGTCGAACAAATCCATCCAAAACAATTCCAACAAATCAAACACATAGCACATTAGCATTAGCATCTCTTCCAAAGCATACACATATATGGGACACATTCACACAATACGCATCGCATACACGCACAAGTACCTTAATTGAATTACTATTTCCGTTCCCGGAATATGCAGCGGCAAGCCTTACATAGTGTTGCGGTCTAACGAAGGCTGGAAATAGGCTTGGGCGCACTTTAAGTTGTCAGTATCATACGTGAAACGTACGTTATGCAAACATGGGTATAGTTACAACAGCTAAAATCTAATGCTTATGGCACCTAAGATAAGGTGTCCGCATCACACTGAGGTCAGTTTGCAGCGGTACCCGCGGCAATTCACATGCACCGAACAATGAATACGTGGCAGGAGGGCCCCTCAAGTTAGCTATATCCCATATTCTCTCGAGAGCATGTCGAAAGTCCAATGAACCACTAGTTCGTTCACATTAAGAACAGAACTTGTGTCTGTGTCCGACAACATCTATCAACCTGGATAAATTAATTCGGTCTGGCTATTATTATGCTTATTTTCAAGAATGATCAGCGTACTTTGTGCGGAAAACATAGACATTTGCTTCGATTCTATTAAATCCAAGCTACTGACGGACATATTCCCACTGGTAATAACTGTCTCCCGTGAAATCCAAAATAACTGAAAGACATACTGATATCTGGCAAGGCAATGTTTGCACCGACCACCTTTGTAACATCGTCAGGTGTTTTTACAGGGGCGCACTTACTAATCACACATTATGCTGAGTTTCCTGAGATGAAAACGGCCTTCCACTTCCTAGATGGAGCCAGCTTGGGGCACTGGAGTATACGGACGAGATACCTCTGATTAAAATTGACTCAGCGGCTAGACAAAAATTACTGGTTGCACTAAAGTGTAACGCTTAAGGCTTCAGCAAATGCATTGCACCTAAAAAGTGTACAATACGGCTGCAAAACCGCGTCGACGCACCCGACGTTCCTAACTATCAGCGAACAGCCACTATAATCGGTGAACACACTTATCTTGGTAACTGTGTTTCCTCAGGTGGTCACATCAATGAAAAGGTTACCACGTTTGTCAGCATGGTCCGCGTGGCTTTCTAGTGACGCAACCATCTATGCAGACCGCGGGCTAGCAGGTTGTCAGTAAACGATAGGGTAAAGAACGCGGCTGTGGGACCGGTTTATGGTATGGAACAGAGACCTGAACAGTTCGCAGCGAAGACGTTAAACGCTTGGCGGCGTTTGCCAACCGGTGCTTAAGGTGTATTGTTCACGTTTGGTGGGAACACCGGGTGAGCAATGCGGAGGTTCGCCAGCTGGCCTTTGACAAGCCTTCTGGTGCCTCGCTTTAATCTTTGCTAAACCTTAGTCGCTAGCCTTGACTAAGCTCGCCCTCCGTATGCCCGTTAACCGGCTTTCTCTGCGTGCATTACACGTCGTGGCTGCACCACGATGCGCGAAACTGCTAGGTGGCCAGTTCATGACATGGCATAGACATGAAAAGATTGGCTGAGAGACGTCGTTAGGCTACTGCGTGCCGTCTTCCTGGATGGGGGCTTCGGAGTAGTCCACACCAACGGTTATTGACCTCACAAATACATGCCTCAGTCAAGTAGTCAGTGACGTACTTGCACTCGGTTTCTTGCATCTGAAGTTAATTTCCTGTCCAGACTGATTGGTTTGGCCGCTTTCTCCTTCCATTGTTTATGTGCTATTTGCCCTTAACCCGACTAGATTGCAGATACAAGATACTGCTAATCTCTTTTTGTCAATGGCTGCAGCTGGATGCAAGGCATTACTGGACCAGGTTCAACGTTGTTCAAAACCAAGTAAACTGAACAGCTTCATCAAAAAGTTATCTACCTGTTCGGTAGTACCAGACATAGAAGTTGCGCGCCGAGTATGGCCGTTTTACCAAGATTGAAACTTGTCGGCGATTACAACTGTGCCATTACTGAGTAAGCATTACATATCAAAGCGCTTCAAAAACCTCACTTATCTGTCTATACAACCCGACTGAGAGGGCAACCCATCCAAAGAAACATAACCACCAATTTCTAGTAAGCAGCGCTCTGCAAGACGTTGAGAGCAATAGCTACGGATGCACAGAACTATGGCTGCTATCTATGGAAGCACATTGCTTTGAACACAGGCCAGTATATAAGTAATGGAAACACCGGTCGCAGACATTATACTGCATGCTTCCTGAAGAGTCAGCATCCAGATTAACAAACCCCTCTTCACCGCGTTGAACCACCGAGTCAACCAGAAGAATAACCGCGGATCCAAGCCAGAGATTTTCGGACATACTAAGAGAAGGGAGAAACAGGAAAGAAGGAGAATCCAGCTACCAGAAAAGAGGAACCAGTTTTGTGAACGGGTGTACGGTAGCCTGCAAAATACTCGTGGAGAACAAACCAAGGAGAAACCAAGAGCGACACGTTATTATGCTTATGAACTCACCAGCTCGTAAAAGTTTGGCGGTGACGGCTGAGAGACTTGTTAAAAGCCTAATGCCCCTTAATTTCACGATGTTGAAGAATAGTAGTTCAACTTCAAGTGTGTCCGGAAAAGTAGAAAGATGCCGTGAATGTTCCACCTTCGAACTTGTCATCGAGCCAATAGGTAATGCGGTGGATTTATCTGCCAATGGAGAGCCAGACCAACAAACGCGATTCATATGATCAAACAAACAATGTCTACGTGCATTGCAATACTGTGCTCGCTGTGCGGGTCATCTGAATAAAAAAAACAAAAGCCAATAAGAAAAGATTGAAGCTTACCAAATTACATAAGCAATATTAAATCCAAGTGAAAATGAAGTAAGAAGTAGTGAGCTGTAAAGGGCGAGTAAACGCTTCAGACGCGAAGAGGAATATTTTAAAATGCAGAACGAAGGCGTCAAGTTGATGTCCAAACTCGTTCATTTTCTGTGCCGTTTTGACTTCTGCGAGCAATGGGTTCCAAAAGCTTATGACGCTATGCGATAACTTAAAAGCTGCCCCGACCCGGTCAGATCGGCATTTGTGCGACTTCAGCGTGTGGCCACCTAGAGTTGGCACTGGAGTCAGGTGGAAATCTTTAGTCAAATTTGGACAAACCTGACACATTATTATGCCCTAGGTGAAGAACAAGTCGCCACGGAGTCGCCTGTAATGCATGAAATGCATTTCCAAATGTTTATTTAGTTATTTGTTCCGCGACCCGTGAGATTAACGTTCCAGCGGTTCCGTGTTATCATGTTCCCTTGCTACTTCACGTTTGTCAAATACTTTTTATATATCGTAGTGTTCCAGTAAACGATTACAACAATATTTGACTATTGGCAACTTCTGCTCTCCAAAAGTATGGCGTCCAAGTGCGTGGACTGTGGCAAAAGTGTCATCTCCCTGTCAAAGGCCGTCCAGTGCGCCGTCTGCGTGTGTGCGATACACCTAGGATGCTAGAACCTTGGTCAAGATCTCTACCACTGTCCGCAGCACACTACCTCTACGGGCATAGGCTTTCACTGCGACCCGTATCGAGCAGCAGTTACCGACAAAAGGATTCTGATGAGCTTAAGCATCTCAACGTACTTACTGATCCTGCACAAGCTCTGTTTAGCTCTGACGGCGAAACACCTGTTTCATCTGTCACTGCCCTGAGCTGGATACTTTAGGTCCAAGCAAAAAAGGAGCCGTTCCTCCTCTTCCAGTTTGACAAGGACATTGAGGCCCGTCAGTCCTGGCAATCAAGCTTATAATGGATGCCGCTCAACATCCTCTTCCTTAGTGGGTGTGCTGCTACCGCAGCTTACTGTCCGCAAATGTCAGTTGGATACAACTAAGCCAAAAACCAGAAGAAGGATCTATGCGGCTGTGGTGGACCTAATCGCTGCAGCAACATCCGCGATGAACTAGGTCAAACGACAGACGAAAAAAGCAGCTCCGATGCTGAAAAGCAAAATGTAACCCAACGCAACTGGAACTCATTATTGCTAAGGTTACTCAGCTGTAACGACTTATTTAAGAAAGTCCAGTCCAACAAAAGCCAGGTCTCACAGGAGGCAACAAAGCACTTCGTGTGCGGTGCTTAATAATTATGAATGCTGCTGTATCCGAAAAATATCCTCGGCTGAAAGAATTCTTGACCACCAAGGTTTTTGTAGCGGTTGGTATACATCCTATTCGATGAAGGCAAGCAGGGTATCAACATCGTCTCTGATGTTCCTATAGATGCAGAACAGGATAATTCATCCAAGCCTCGCCCACTAAACGTCGTTTGTCAGGATAAGAATGAAGTTTGCCGCATCCTAAGGCGTACCTTCCGTCACAAAGGAGAACACAATTTTGTGCTGAAATACCTTCCCCGAACGATGGAGGCAGAATGAGACAAGCCGTCAAAGAAGTGCGAACCCGTCGAGCATACGGTGAAACTGATCTTCAAGTGTATTCTCATGGACTGTTGTATTAGATTCCTTTGTTGGTTTGTTGACTTATTTTGTGACACTCTAAGTAACTACAATTATTAACCCAAATAGCATATTGGCAGCTGATAACCCGTCCACTAGTGCCATCTCTCGCTCGTCTGGTTTCGACAACCAGTCTCTTCTTCTGATGCACTTCATCCTAGCCGGCTTCTATTGACATCCTGTTCCTATCCTCATATACCCAAGTATATTAAGGTTACTAGGTCAATCAATCAATCATCAACAGCAGTACATCAGCCATTTGAACTGATGCTTCGCTGCCATACAACCATGAGGACCTATGAAATAAAGAATAAAAAGAGGGAGAGAAGGGGGACTTACCTGAAAACCTTAATGCCCTAAGCAAACATTCAGGGTCAAGGCGCCTACACCTTGTGTAGACAACATTCCGTCACAAACAGCTGGCTATCGTGCAAAGATAAGGTTATTAGGTTGCATTAAAAAATCCTCATCCTCTGAAGTATATATAAATCTCGCCACGCCACCACTGCTTTTTGGAGATTCCTCGCAGTTAAACAGACAGACAGCCATCACACATCCAGGAAAGCGCAAGACGGCCGCTTGGTCCTACTGGGACTCGTCAGTAGCGCGCACCCGCCGAATCCTGCCGGATTTGACCCCACGACCTTACTCTTGCGAGTCAGTGGCTTATGTCACTGAGCCACGTGCGACTGCCGCTGACCGCCATGACTGATCTAACCGCGATATAGCGCGGCTCATCCTCCAGTCTTGCATGTTATGATATGCAGAGGATAGAGCTGGCCCCCAGAGCAACGACTTCTTTTGCAAGGTGGTGGCAAGTATGCTGCTAAGACAACTACTGACTCGCAAGAGTAAGGTCGTGGGATCAAATCAAGGAAGGCTTCGGTGGGTACGTGCTACTTACGAGTCCCAATAGGACGAAACTGCCGTCTAGCGCTTTCCTGGATATGTGGAGGCTTCTGTCTGCGTCAAACTGCGACGAATCTACACAGAAGCCTAATAAATCACTTTAATACTTACATGTCAACACTATCCCCTAGTTTCCGA